GTAACGGGCAATCCCCAGCCTCAGAAGGAGAGGTTGGTGCTGGGCCCCGCGGGAGCGGGGGCTGTCTGTTCCCCGCCACGGCCTTGGCTGAGGCCGCCGGGGCTCGGGAGCCCGCTCTCGCCCACGGCATCCCGCCGCGGCTCCCACAAGGCAAACGCTTGTTTTCGTAAGGCGGCCCTGCAGGGATGTGTCACGCTGCGAACGGGGCCCTCACGCGACACCTCTAAGCCAGCGTTAGTCTCGCACCGCTAGATCTCAGTATGGTTTTCAGTTCAGAAGGTAATTCTTTGGTCACGTAGTCTCTGCCTAGCACTGCGAGGCGACGCCTGGATGGCAGGGAAGCATGGAGGACTCCTCTGCGGGCGTTGCCTCCGCGTGCTCCCAGTCAAGCGCCTTTCCTCTCTCCCTGGTATTTGTCATTTCAGATTTCCACAAAAGCAGAGGAGAACTAACAAAGCTCAGACTTGAATTCAAGCCCTTGCACGGAGCCTGCAGCGGTTCGCAGCTGTGCGATTCGGGGAAGGTGACATGCTGGATGAGCACGGGGACTTCTGGGACTGGAAGACAGAGCGGCTGAACCACTCAGAGCAAAGTCACCCCCAGTCAAACCCACCTCGGCTCAGCTGACACCTTTTTATCAGTGCTGGGCCAGAGAGCTCGTACGTCACGCACAGCCGCATGGCAAGAGCCACGGGAACCTCGGGGAGGGGGAACGGGAGGGATCAGTTGCTCTTCTACTTGTGTAAAGGATCATTGCAAAGGGTGGTGAAGAGGCTTGGATACTGAGCGGGGCGCTCCTTGGCTGGATAAATTACCAACGGGAACACTTTCAGGTGCTTCATTTTATAGCACTTTGCCAAGACTTCTGCTCCGAGAACCCCTTAGGAACGGGGATTACTGTTAGAGCCGTCACTCTGCCAGAGTCTGGTGAACGAGCTGCATCGCAGCTTCAAGTATTGAGTTCGCTGCGCCACACGCCTATGTTCAGAGTCACTCTTCAGATTTAGAAACCGCATAATAAGATTTTTTTCAGTTTCTTGGCCAGACCAGGGAGCGGGGCTGTGTATACACACACACTTCGGCTCCCTGCAGTACAGTTTGGCCTTTAGAGCACCAACACGCCAGAGATGAAGGCTCGTAGAGTATTGTGGCAGGTGCTTGAGTTCATGTCAAACTCCTTCAGTGCAAAGAGATCTTAGAAGTTAAGGGGGGGGGGAAGGAGCCTGACCGTGGCTCTGCACAGGTAATAGCCCCAGCAGTCTTCGTGCTTCAGAACGGTTCCGTGTCCCTACTCCGAGATATCCTCGAGAAGAGTTCCCCGATCTCAGCGGTGGGTAGCAAGATGAGCAGCGTGGGTTCACTTTGCTCCTTTATTTATGGTTCAGTTGAGCCATTAGCCCTGTCTGGGCCTGGTGCCTCCTGGAAACGTTCCTGCCTTACGTTTTTCTCCAATTTGCTGACTGCCCCGCACAGCCCACACAACCAAAGAGATACTTTTACCTGGTCGTGGTGTACGTATGTCATTTGATTGCATTATTCCTGGCTCTAGGCTAGTGCTCCTAGCACTGTATTTTCATTTGGCTCCATCACCTCAAAGGCCGTTTTCCCTCCCTCTACTTTGTCTATCAGCTTTTTGGAAAGAGGAACAGCACAGAAGAAATGCAGTAAGTTTTGCAGTTTATTTCTTAATCGTTTAGAAAACGTCTCAGGATGTGTATGTTTTTTAAACATTCCTCCCATTTTGTGTATACCAGCTTCGTTTTACTCTAGAAATCACAGGCTCTCACCTATTTCCAGATAGCCCCTGGCAAGAATTGAGGAAATTGAATCAGAACAGCACATTCAGCGGTCACCGGTGCTGTAACCCCTCTCCGTGTTCAGGTGAAGGGGGAGCGGACACCGAACAGCCCTTGCCCTGTGGCAGGCAAAACTCTTGCACAACCTGTGGGGTTTTGGCAGGCAGCTCCCGAGGCTCCCAGTCCTGGGGCCGGAACCAGCCACCATCAAATGACACCAACGAACAACAGGGGGGAGGTGGAGGGACAGCGACAGCCAAAGTACAAGGACGAGATGCCTTATCTCTGCGATTTAGAGCAAAAAACCAGCAAGGTAGGTGTGTCTGGTGTACAGCTCCATTGCCGTCCGCGGAGTTACTCTGGGGAGGTGCTTTGTCCTGCAGGCGGGGAAGGGCCCCAGATGCCGCTGGTCACGGCGCGCACAGCGTCACTGGGAGGGCAAACCTAGGGTTCAGGTGGGCTCAGAGCAGACAGGGAAGACTACGGGAAAAGCGATTTAAAATCTCCTCCTGTCCCCACGACCACGCTGGAGCGAGGCGGCCGCCGACCTGTGCGTTTACCCTTTGTGACCCCGGCAGCGGAGGAGCACCAGGCGACGAGCTCCCAGCATAGGTCCGACTTGTGTTGGAAGGCAGCCGTCCTTGCAAGGGCACACACTGGGTGACATTTAAGGAACTTGCGCCTTATTCAAACAAGCAGAAAATTGGCTCAAGACTCCCTTACATGGAGCTCTTGTGCTGCAAGTATCATAAATAAGAGCAAAACAAAAGACACTTTATTTGCTTTGGCTCTTGCAATGGTTTGGCACGCACAGCAGCCCTGTCTCGAGATTCTGCAGGGAGGTGTGTATCAGGAAGGGCTCTGCTACCAAGCCCAGTTTGAGGTCTGCAGAGATTAGCAAGAGATGAGGCTCTTGGTTTTGATGGCTTCTCCGCTCTGCTTCTACTTGAGCAGAATTTTGCTGGGAGGAGGAGGTTTGCTCTCGACAAGAAAGGGAGGAGTCGGAGGTCAGGAATCTGGAAGTTAGGCAAAGTGCAAACATGCTAACAGGAGAGCGAGGCTGGGGTAGCAAAGGACCTGTTGTATTCCAGCGGCACGCAGCAGCCCGGCTGGGGCTGCGGCAAGCGGCAGGTTAGAAGGAAAGGAAGCGGTTGGCGGTGCCGCCTGAAGAGGCCGCTTCCTTTGGGCTCGGCGCTGCAGGCAAACTGCCTCCGCAGCAGCGCAGCAGCGCAGCAGCGCAGCGCCTACGGGGGCTGTGCTCGGGCCCCAGCCGCGCGGGCGCTCTCGCGGCGAGAAGAAAGCTGCTGTCACCGACTTTGCCGCCTGGAGTGCGACAGGCTCTCCTCAACAAACTTCCCAATAAAAAAGTCAGGCAAGAAGACAAATATGCTCTGCCTGTGTCAGTGCTGAAACTGAGAGTTTTGGGGCAAGTCTGCTTTTTCACTGCTGACATTTAGGATTTCCTGCAAGCTGGAAGAACGGAAAGTAAAAGGGACCGGCCTGCTTGGCTGCTTTAGCTCAGCCCACGGGGACGTGCGTTGCGAGCTGCGGTTCACCGTGCCCTTTTGAACTGAAGGGCAGGTTTACTCAGGAAACACACGCAGAAGAGGCAGCTGGCTCGTGCCCCAGAACCAGTAGGTCCAGCTGAAAGGATGCACGACACGGGTTTGAGCAGCTATTTTCACCTTTTCTGAGCACTTGTAATGACTTGACTTGCATTAAGATGACTGACACCTCACACCCAGCGTGCTATGCAGCCGCCTCGGCGGATGGTGTAAGCAGCCAGCAGAGACACAGATTTCCAGATACAGCCAGAGCTTAACAAGAAGGAAAAAACAGTTCTGCAAGCTGGAACCTTCCCCATGGCTCGCACCTGGCAATGGAAGGCCACAGGGACAGGAGGAGAGGAGGGCAGGAGGGGTACAAAGGGACATGGGCGAGAGGTTTCAAGGGTGCTGCACAGGCGCGGAGGGTGAATCAGTGGCCGCTTCCTTCCAAATCCTGTTTACAAATTCAAGCAGAGCTACAACACGTGGCAAGCGTAACCATTAACTTTACTGAAGAATCTGACGTGACAGAAGAGCAGTGGAACATTAACCACGTTTGAGCTGACGGACCGCGCGCCGCTCCCCCGGGGCTGGCCAGCACCCCTCCCTCTGCCACCACCGCTGGCCCAGCCACCGCAGCGCTCGGCAGTGGAGAGCACCTGGCCGGAACGGCTTCCGTCGAGCTGGCAAAGCCGCTCTGGGGAAAGGACAGGAGCACCGATACGGTTTGCAGAGGGAGAGGCAGCAGCTTCACCCAGAAAAGCAGCTTTTCTCAACTGCGCAGGCTGTTCTTTGTAAAGTATGGCATGAGCCTGTGGTTGAGGATCTTTATTGACGGGACTAACCCCGTCCTTCCCGGAAGCTGGAGGCCTCGCTCGGGTACCTGCACAGCCCCCCGCCCCGGGTGCTGCCTCCCTTTGCTCCCCGGTGACGCAGCAGCCTCTGGCGGCCAGGTGCTCCGGGAGCCGCGGCAGGGTCCCCACCCAGGGCTGGGGCCTGACCTGCCTCTTCACTACAGAGCAAAAACCTTCCAGCTGAGCGTGCTGCAAAGGGAAAGCCATTTTCAGTGATTTTTCCTTGTTTCAGACAGAACTGCTCTGTCACACCCCCAGGAAACCTTTGCCTCTTCTATGGTGCTGTGACCTGGAAAACTCAAAACAGGGATGGAAAGGGCAGTTCTGACCGGCCCCAGTTCCCACAGGGACCGAACCGCCGCTGTCCTCAAGCGGATCCAGCGGTGCTGGAGCATGGAAGAAAAGCCTATAGGGCTACAGCTCGCATACCTGTAGTGGACAAGAGGGGAAAGCAGCTTACTGCAGTCTAAGATGTAGTTTTCTTCCCTTCTAAGTTGCAGAAAGGCTGTGATTGAAGTGCCTTTTGTGGAATGGTGTTTCTGAATGATTTTTAGAAGAAACGCTGAAATACTAGAATCATAGAATGTTCCGAGTTGGAAGGGACCCACAAGGATCATCGAGTCCAGCGTTCCTGTCCCTGCACAGGACAGAGAGCCTGCACAAAATAATCCATTTTACTTAGAGTGTAACCCCCTAATTCTGGCCGGCCTGCTTTAGGAGCTGGTGCTTGAAATGCTCCAGCAGTTCAGGTGCAATCTTATCAGCGGTCAAGTTCTTGGCGGTCAAGATCCCTTCGTGGGCTTCCTGGAAGAGCTGCTTCCCCACCGCTTCTTCCACCCGCCGGCGCCACGCCGCTAACTTCGGCCTCTCCTCAAAGAGGTCGTAGCCGGCACCTACAGGCTGCAGAGGGAGAGCGAGAGAACCCGGGGGTGAGTCAAACAACGCATCTACCAGGGACGGGACCAGCAGGAAGCAGGGATGTGCTTTTGGCCCAAGGCAGCCGGCAGTCACGCTAGGTGGAGTTCATCTCTGTTCTCAGCCAGCGGAAGCAAGCGCTGTCATCCTCAGCAGCTGCTGTCCCCTGGGACGCGCAGCGAAAGGGCACTGCCGCGCTAAGCCAAGAACCGTCTAACGCAAACACAGAGCTCCGCGCACACCAACACATCTCTTCCAAATAGCTGTACTTGCTCTGCCGAGTTCGTAATTTATCTTTTTTTCTGAGGAATTTTGTCCGTACTTCTATAGAGAGAACTGTCTCCAAGTAGGTGTTCCCTGGCAAACTCAGTTATGGTCAAAGGCAAAAAGGAACAAGGTTTAACTCCCCGTCAGGAGTGAACAGCAGGGAGAAAGCTCTGCCGTTAAAGAGGTGGCGGTGCCGCAGCCACAGCCTGGCCCAGCCTGCCCGCAGCCCGGCTCGCGTACCCAGCAGCGCTGGGGCTGATGCTCACCTGCATGAGCTCCACCAGCGCTACGAGGTCGGCCAGGGAGATCTCGCTGCCTGCAATGAAGGGCTTGTCCTGCAAGAACTTCTCCTCAAACTGCTTCAGGACAACGTTCAGCTCTTCAGTAACACCTTCCAGTTTCTCTGGAGGAAGCGGCTGGCCTGTGAGCAGGGGCAGCAGCACCTGGCAGGGAGAAGAAACAAGTTGCTTTTTACGTATTTCCCTCCCAACTTAGTCCACACCCTCCCACTGCCGCCGTCTAAGGATCCCTCACCAGCCATGCACCACAACAGCTGGTGCTGCTCATCTGCTTTGGCAGATTAACGTTAATGTCAGTCATTAATTCCTGGCTGTCCTTGTCTCCTCCCTAGAAAGTCTGAAATTTCAACCACGAGAGTCTCCTCTCAAGGGAAGGCTGCATCATCTGCAAGCAGCTGCGTTTTGTTTTCCAGCGGGAGGTTCGTTCTTTCCACGAAGCTGGGCAGAAGGCGGTGAGCTGTGTCTGGTGTTAGCTGCTCACCCAGGACGAATTTGCTCTGGATCTCAGAGCGTGCACAGAGCTGTGGCTGCAGCACGAAGCATTCGGGCCACCGCAGTTGTTTTGTTCCTGTCTGTCGCCAGGCTTGCACCTTTGCTCAGAAAGGCCCTAAACACAGGAGGTACCTCCTGGGCCACTGCACTCGCAGCTCTTAGCGCTTAGTTTTTGGTATATAACGGGCTTACCTTGGTTAAGAACAGCTTGCTCCCCTTCCCGCGAATGTTGACGTGCTGCCATGACAGGTACTCATCAACCCTAGCCCTTTTCTGCAGGTCAGACGGATACCAGTGATCAGGAGTCTTGAATTTCCGGGCCAGGTACAGGAGGATCGCAATGCTGCCCAGAGAGCGAGGCAGACTGTGAGCTGGTCATCTGAGATTAAAGCACCTCATCCTTTCTTCTTCCCCCAAGTTTTGCACTGCTGGACCAGCAGCAATACAGCCCTGGTCCGCGTCAGGCAGAAGCGCAGGACACGCGATTGCCAGGCAGGCGCAGCACACGAGAGGCCGCGCTGCCTTGACCGGCTGCTTGGGGACAGCAATTACCCGATACATCAGCCCAGCGAGACAGACGTGGCCTGCTGGTACAGTTGCCCCGTCAACATTTTTGAGCAAATACGAGCCACAGAATGAGTTTATACCAAACCAGAGCTTTGTATTGCCTGGCCATCCAGCAGCGCGTGCCTCGCGTCAGATTTACTGCATTGCCCTCAGCCTCCGGCTGACGGCAGAGCGCAGGAGGATGCACGGACAGGGCTTTTGGCTTAGAAACGTTGCCTGCGTGCAAGCTAGCTCCAAGCAGCAGCTCACAGATTTTTCCATGATCAATGCAGTTTGAGTTGCTTACATGAGAAAGCTTCTCTTGAAACATGGGTTTATTTTACGTACAACCGGAACAGATAGGAAGGAGGCAAACAACTACCTGGGCTGGCGTCCCAGTGGGGACCAAACAGGGCACTAGCAGAATCCAAGCATTAGGATAAGCAATACTGCAGGAGGGATCTGAGCTTATTTGAGCCTCACCTCTCCGCTAAGGTGAACGAACCGTCCCTCAGCGCGGGCACCTTCATCAGGACGTTCACCTTCCGGAACTCCTCCGTCCTGTGCTGCCCTGGGGAGGGAGACGAGGAGTTTTACTTGGCAGTGATGCTCAGGACCTGCCTGCAAACGCCCGCGGGGCCTGTGGGGACCACCTGGCCTCGAGTCCCTGGGTTCGATTGTACAAGTACAGTCTTGTTGGAGTTTACAAGCAATCAAGAAGTACCGCAGGGTGAACGGGGGGGTGCCCCATGATGTCAGCCTACTTGCTTATTGCCTGCGTACCAGAACAACCTCTCGACAAAGGGCAGAACGGTCGAGAGCCCTTCCATACCGACAGCGCTTGTCAGCTCCGGGCTCCGTCAGCTCCAAGCTTGCGCCTGCCCTGTACAAACCCAGAGCGACCACCAAGCGCCTTGGAGGAAAGGGAGCTCGGTATCAGAACCATGAACCACAAGGACAGCGAGAGGGCAAGGGGTATTTTTTTTTTTCTGGAAGATAATGTAATTTATATTCAACTCTTTTTAGTCCTCAGATGGAAACAAATTTCTACGATTCCATATAAAGCCATGGGTACTTTATTACAAATCTATCGGCTCTTTCTGTGGGTTTTGCACATCCTTTCTCAGAGCAAACAGGGATTTGAGTTTGCTTTCAAGCCCCCCGCCCGACAGGCGGGCAGAGCGAACCTGACAGGAGACAGAGCCTTGTTCGCCCGAGGTCCCAGCCTGCGCCATTACGTCTGAACCCAGTCCCGGGAGCCTTGTTCTACGCGACCCGTTCGTGCCAGCCCTTTCCAGCCCCTGACTTCAGCCACACGTGCGCACCTCTGTATTCGAGCTTCTCTACCAGCCGACCCCGTGCCGTGTCCTGCGGCGTGAGTCACCCGAGAATCCCTCTGCCAGAGGGGATGCTCTGGAAATGGTTTTCGTTTTCCCAGTACTTGGCAAACCTGATTTGTGACTATTCCCCCTCACTTGGTCACTTGGCTCGCAGCCCGTCCCCTTTCAAAAAGACACTGGGATTTCCTACGGGCGGCGTGCGGATTCCAGGTCTCTGGGTGTCCCCGGAGCGCCGTGCGATTTCTAACCGCTCTCACTCTTTCTACGCATTTCCTCGAGAGCTCCCCTGCCGGGGCCCAGGAGCTTTTCTGGGGGGACGCCGTTAACCCGCCGGCTCAGATCCGAGCGTGTGCTCCCTCGCCCGGGCCTTACCCCCCGCCGCCGCCGGGCCCGAGCGCGCTGAGCCCACCCGCCCCGCTAGCTGCGGGGCCAGGAGCGCGTCCCCGCGGCGCGGGAGCCGCACGGCTGCGGCCATGGGGCGCACCTCCAGCATTCCCCTAAGCCAAACTACCCGTCTTAAACCCGCTGACCACAAGCAAACGCTGATGCCACGGAGCACAGATCACGTGGAAACTGGGATTTAATTCACTTCTCTTCCTCTCCGTTCCCCGGTACCTGTATTTCAGTCGTTCCGTTCTCCCCGATGCTCTCCGCTCTCCTCTCCTTTGCACCAGTGTCCCACCACAACAGTTTGTTTATTGGGAAGGAAGGGGAAGGGCAGTAGGTGGGCCTGCCCCCAGCTACAAAAAGTAACAGCAACTTTTCCTGCCGCCAGAGGCCGGGGGAAGGCGGCAGCAAGGTGCGAAGAACTGAACGCACAGCTGAGGTGCGCAGGGGAACACCCAGAGACTAAACCGCAAGGCGCCTGCGGTTTCTCCGAGTCACGGGCCGGAGCCCCTGTTGTTTCTTTACCAATTTCAGCCCCAGAAGCCTTCTCGTCTTTCATTGTTTTTAAGCGTCACTTACCAAGGTGTTTTTTTGCCAAATACATTACCTTAATTTCAAATCCAGCAGAGCTCTGGGAAGGTTGAAGGAGAGCTTTTACCAGCTTCAGTTACAAGGTAAGAAGACACAGATCTTTGGGCACCCTTTGGCGATGACCCGTGGTACCTCTCGCCTGCTGGCTCCTACCAATTATCAGCCGGTTTTACTGCAAACTAACCCCCTTCCCTTCTCCCTTTGGCAGCGCTCGGACCGTCCCGAGGGGGCGGCGGGCCGGGCCCTTCCCGCGGTGCAGC